TATTTATTGTTTTTTAAATAATCCTGCAGTTCAAGTTATTGGTCTTTGAGAGGGACAACTATATCACTTGAAAATGGTGTCAGAACAAGTTTCAGGGATAAGTTATCGTCCAGCTAAATTAGATATTTTGACACGCTCTTGGTGAACATTAGGTTAATGTATTAATCGATATCTAGTGAGGACTGTCTAATCCTGTCTGAATGCAGGCTCATCACTGTCACTGATCAAAGAGTTTCATAGACAGTTCACTGAGGCCCAGACATTTTTATACATTCAGAAAAGCACTGGGGTGAAAACACATCCCTGTGGGACGCCATTGCTGATGCTGCTGTCGATCAACCAGGAATCTGGTGATCCACTGACATGCAATACCTCAAACTTCAACAACTCACATCGAGATAACAGACATCATCCTGTTTTCTTCTGACTGTGGAGCAGAAAGTCTTCATAAAAACAACTGTGAACTTTCCATGTCCAAGTTACGTTTGCAGCTTGACTAATTAGAAACAGTTCAGCCGACAGCCAATTAAGACTCAGCAAGCGACTGAAGCTGCAAAACAGCTAGAATAGCTCTTATGTGTAGCTAATCAACTAAACAGTTTTTCAAAAAGAGACATTGTACCAGCATAGTAAAATGTTTTAAATTATGCTAGCAAGTGGACTGCTGAAAATGGAGCAAAATTAGCTTTCTGTGTTAATCCTGAGGGCTAATCACTGAACTCAGGAAAACAGACAGGCTGAAAACCTTGCCTAACCTTCCCAATCCCGCCTCTATGATCTATAATTATAATAACAAATGGACTAATTAGCCAGACCTGATGTGCTGAAGTAATGTAGAGGTGATTACAAGTGACCGGCAGGAACAAGAATAATAATAAAAAAAAAAGACAGATGAGATGGAGAAGGGAAAAAAAGGAACAAGACCTTGCCGGAACATTGAATAAATAAAATGTTAGGAGACTGAAGGGAAAATTCGCTGACAGAAAGGTTGAAGCGTGACCAAAACATGACAGAGCGGGTGCAGAAGTCTGAGGGATACAGCCCCAAACCTGAATAAAAACAAGATCCCAGTCTGTTTCAGTTCTCACCGACTGTCATGTGCGAATGTGCAGAGTGAGCACGGACATTACTGCTGTTTATTCAAGCCACAGAGTGTGAAACATGACACTGAGCCAGGGGTGAGTCTGGAGCTTCTGCATGCTGAGAAAGGAAACAGATCTCTATCTGTTCCCATCACTATATAGGTCAACCATAACCTTTATTCTCTGTACATTAACTCGAAACAAGGATTCTGTTATCCAGCTATTGCTTTACATTTATACATCGAAGTCAAATCAAATTTAATTTTCTATTTCCCCATTTCTATTCTAAGTTTTATACAAATCATATCGCAATGTATCGTTATCGCCACCCATCGTAATATATTGTATACCTTGAAAAGAATTTGATGCAATATCACACATTCCAAACATTAAGGTATATTTGGTATTTAAACTTTTAAAATAGACACTTTTAAGCGATTTTACCATGGGTCTTAAGTAGGGCGGTAACAATTCCTCAAATTATTTGTGGAAAATTGATCTCCCTCAAAGTTTCTTTAAATTGCGTTTTATTAATTAGCGCACTGTGTTCTGCCTGGGTGATGATTTATATTATGCAGCGTTCTCACTTCCTCCTGAATTGTTGATGAAAGCCAAGTGTTAGCAGCATAACGTCCAGACTGGGAGGATTTTACTGATTCATGATAATATCCGGGTTTTTATAGTTATTTTGGGACTAATAAACATCCTTAAATAACTGATGATTGGAGTACGGCGGCTTTTCTCCTGGAGTTGCTGCCTGGTGGCAGTGAAGAACGCGGCGGGTGTCTCTATAGTTGATGCTTACTGCAAGTGTAGGTTTACGGACGAACCGTAAAATAAATTTCATATAACCCGTCGCTATACATGAACACAAAGCTATAAATGTCTGGGCAAGATCAGAGTTCATTTATTAAATTGCCTGAAGATAACATAAACTAAAAACTAGAGTACAGACATTTTTTCGAGGCGTATTTGTGAGCCAGCTTCTTTATTATTGAATATAATTTCAGATTTTTGTATGACTTTTCTTCAGATTAACTTAGAAAGTGAGCTATTATTATTATAAGTACATTTTCTGAACTACTAGCCTGAAGTATTGGTAGTTTTTAGCTTCATTTGGGGCTTGACCTCCAGAGGTTTACAGTAAACATGTTGTATCAGTCGAGCAGCAGAAGGAATAATTGTTTCTTTTCCTTTTTTCATAGTTCAACACATAAAGATTGTAAGCTAAATTGTAAAGGTCAGCCAAAACACACAGCTCTAGTTATTAGCCTATGAAAGGAAATCAGACTCAACACTGTAAACTCAGCAGACCTCAGTTGTATCGCATCCAAATCCAAGTCCTAATAACCTTCTGCTGTGTCCTTCTTGGTCATCAAATAAGCGTACCACTAACGAACTGGTTCTTGGTTTTAATGAATGTGGGTAATGGACAGTCTGGGCCTGATTGCCCTTATCTGCAGACTAATGATTTCCTGGGCTCTTTTCAATTATGTTGGGAAAGAGGTCACTAAAAGGTTTGTTTCTCAGCTCAGCCATTCAGCTTCATTAAAGCCTCGGTGTGTATTCATTAACACCACAGTCATAGGTCCCTGAAGTGTGTGCTCTGCTTTGACATTTTCTCCTTTACAAATAGATTAAAAAACGTATTAATCCTGCTCTAACAGTTTATACTTGATGAGGTTTTTTGGCAGATTCCCTGCTTTTAATGATTTAGCTCTTTGTTGTTTGGGGATGTTGGGGAGACATTCAGGACTTCTTGGTTGGCTCAAGTTTTTTCATGAACATCTTGCATAATTTGTCATTTTTCTACCTTTTGTTGCGTTACTACAACAAACGTAATTGTAGTTCATCTAGATTTTAGCCTCCTTTACTCTGATATTCCCAACTAAAATTCTTTTAAACCTTATATATCATCTAATTTGGACTAGTTTATAGTGGAAATATTTTTAAATAAGACAAAATTAACTTGCAAGTGACTTTTCAGCAAGATGTAGGAGCTTGTTTTAAGTCAACAATTCCTTAAAGTCGATGAAGATGTACGAGTTATAAATGAAATAAATTGCCAGTGGAACTAGTTCTCAATATTATGGAATTATTAACTTAAAACAAGCTAAAATATCCAGCTGAAAAGTTACTTGTGAATTAGTTCTGTCTTATTCCAAGTGTACTAAGATATTTCCACTACAAACTAGACAAAAACAGGGCATAAAAACACAAAATCTAAGCTAATTTACAGGAATCAGTGGTTAGTAGTTAGTTTATCCAATTGAGATTTGTTCTCATAATCAGAAAACAAACCCCATAAATCTCTGACTTACATTAAAAGTGTGTGACTCTGCACATATTGATATTGTCATGATGTTTGCATTTCAGAATGTGAAACACAAACACAGTGTTAGTTTTCTTAGACACTGTGATTTGCATACAGTTAAATAATATTTGTTGTGTCTGCTGTTCGACTAAAAGCGATCTTTGACATAGCTTGTATTATTAGTGTAAACTTTACAGATTATTTTGTGGCGTATGTCTGAAATGTTCAAGAGAAAATGAAGACCCAATGCTTCTTGACATGCCAATGGTTGCCATTTGCAAACCAGTTATTTATTTTCCTTGGGTTTTAGTGGCTGAACCCCAAAGCGTGGAGATAAGAGAAACTGTAGCTGTTAGCTTCTGCACTAGTGCTAAGATGATCTGCACTATATATTTATTGTCTTAAAATAGGCATTTATCATTTTTATAGGGAGTCTGAGGTATTCCTGGTATCTGTGGCTCTTAACCTGGTCACTTGATTTTATTTAAGGTTTTCATAGTAAAGGGGGATGAACAATTGTCTGCTAGTTCACAACCATATTCTACTTTTTGAAGTCATTGATTTGTGCACACAGAACAATTGTTAGACCAACAAATTAGTGCAAAATAACAGGATAAGAGAACAAATAACAAAAAGAAAAGTGAAAAGAGACATGAATGCACTTATAGTTTAACAATTCATTGTTTCTGCTGATATTTTATCCATAAAGTTTGAATATAAGGTTGAATTTGCTTGTACAACAAGCTTTGAAAAGTATCAGTAGCAGAAAATTGGTCAGATTAATTCATTAGTCATTGGCGTACCGACCAATAGCTTGGGTTTAACTTCAGATGAGGTTTGACACCAGGCTTTACAAAGACAAATCAGAGGCTTTAACAGCTTCCCACTGGAAACTCGGGAGTATACTAATAATAATCTGTAGCTGCTGACTCCACTGTTTCGAAAATTTTCTGTAATAAATTGAGCAAATTTACTGCTTATTTAGTAATTTCCCATGACCACCTGCTGCAGATCACGATGTGTCAAATCCATTTAATTCTGTTTTGCTTTGGGTACAAGTACACCTCCTGAAGTTGCTCCCTGTTGTTCTGGGAGAGTTGCTCTGTTTAGTTTTAGCTTTCAAAAAGAGCCATTCCTCATAGAGAGCAACACCAAACCCCAATCAGCTCGTTGCTCTTTGGATTCATAGGTCAGGCAGATAAAATATGCCTCAAGGTTGCTCATTACCCAGAGCCGTTTTGCAAGCCCCCAAAGCTTCCTCTCTGCACCGTCGCCAAGCGTTGCAATTCACCGACGTGTCGTGAGCTCCATTTTTATCTGTCACATTCGTTTGCGTGTGATGGCTGCTGATGCTCGGCTCATTAAGGATTCTCTCCCCTCCTCCTCCCGCTGCCGTTGCTGCCGCCGCGTCTCCTTGAGAAGCTGCGACTCTGACTCATGTTCGTCCTTGACTCACACCCCAATCTCATCTTCCCAGGAGCGTTTACGTATCATCCGCTGTTTTGATGTTGCTCTTTTAGTTTCTCTTGTTCGTTTTCTTTTTTTTTGCCCTAATTGGTTTCATGTTGCCGTTCACTGATGAGCTTTCTTCTCCTCTTCTGCAGGAGCTGGTGGGCAGCAACCCTCCGCAGAGGAACTGGAAGGGAATAGCGATCGCCCTCCTTGTCATTCTGGTCATCTGCTCGCTGATCGTCACCTCCGTCATCCTGTTGACACCAGGTACAGCAACGGGCGGGGGTGGGGCCCCGCCACAGCGTGCGCTCCACATCGCTCTGTTTACACAGCCATTGTTATGCACAGACATGCCCATTAGAGTTCACAATCAATCTCCTCACAAACAATGCAGCGAACAAAGTGCCGACGTCTTGCTGACTCCGTCCACTGAGGTGTTTACACTCGTCCTCCCTCCCGGTTTCCACGTGAATGTTTTCCCTTTAACAGATGTAGTCAAGGTCAGGGAACTTCATTAAGCGCAGCTGGTGCAGCATCACTTCCTTCCCAACAAGTCCATGTGCCTCTTTAGACTGAGTTGCGTAATTTGGACGGATACGTCTTTGTTGAGTTGTTTTAAACCCTCTGAGTTTCAGTTGAGGCTGACCTTCAGTGTTTTTAAAGTTTAATCAGACGACCATCTGTTTGCATTCAGGCCCATAAAGCTCCTGGATACGGTTTTATGCACTGCAGGAGTCAAATCAGGTTAATGTGGCCTTCATCGTGCGCTCACTAGAATTAATTTACAACGACAATAAGCAAAAAGTGACCTTGTTCGTCCACAAGGTCACAGCAGGGTTTCCGGCAATTCAGTTCAATCACTTTGGAGAACTGAACGGGAAATGGATTGAACTTACACAGAACTTTTCTAGTCACCATGACCTTTCACCCTTGCATGCTCACACACATTTATATTCAGATTAATTGAATCTGAAGCCTTTTTCCCCACTGAGTGTTTAAAGTGTTTAAGTTAAACATTTAATATTAAAAGTGAGTTTTTGCTCGATTTTTAATTTTGTGTTCCTGGAGTCCAAATGCTCCATATTCACACATCATCGTAAATTATGGTTTGTTTTTATTTTTATTTTTATTATAATGTATTCTATCTTGATGTTTTCTATCCACGTCTGTCTTGTTCTTTTGTTTATTTATTTTATCTTTTTTAATTACAGTGTATTCAGCCTGTAACATCTGGCAGGGCCATAAACAATGTAAATTAGCATTGGCTCTAATTGATTCATTTACATTTATGCTGTTCAAAATGTTCATTAATGCACAATGTCCCTGTGATACAAATAAACAAACAGGCTTATGTATATTTTTATAAATATAATTTTTTTGTTGGTTGGGCAATAAATTATTTAGCTAATTATTGCGATAAACAATTAAACAATAATACTTTTGTTTTGATACAATGACATAACAAAGTTTTGTTTTCTCAATAAGGGTTGCACCAATTAGTCAATTTGTCAATTCTTTTCTCTGAAATGGATTTTTTTTGGGCCAGTCGACTGACCGCAATCATGTGACAAAACGTAAAATGGAAGAGTTCGTCAGAAAGCTCAAATTGTGTAAAAATGTCAATAATTTACCAAAGAGTAACTGAAAATTTCAGGCTATCGCAATACCAGGTAAGCTGGCATCTTTACGCTCTCATAAAAATACTGTTTGGCAACATCTGGAAACTAAGTCCAAGTTTCATTTTGAGGGTCTGACAGAAGCGATCTCTGCCGCCGTCTGCATGTCAGTTCATCCTGCAGAGAGCCGCTGCAGAGTCAGCGGATCGTCCTGCGGCGCGTCGGACATTATGAATGGGATCCGTTCATAATAAGTTTGGTTTGTGATGTTCCAAAAGCACCATTGTGACTCCTGTACGTGCAGTTATCCAGAGATCATCAGTATCAGTCAGTGTTTGATTAAAGTCAGGCCCGACTTTGTGCAACAGACTTTTCTCCTGCTCATGAAGAATGATCTGCTTATTGCACTTTCAATTCTGCATAATAGACTTGGTAAAAGCTGAATGCAGGTAATGTTAGCTAAATGATAACTAGCTAACGCCGATATCACGTAAAGCTTGTTAGCAAGAATAGGCTACTGGTATCTATTGTTGGTATCTATTAGTAGCAAATGTAACCATTGAGTTACATTAACTTGAGTAACTGTTTGGGGGAAAAAGATGCTTATAGGACTAGCTTTGCTGCTTTGTACTTTTGTTTTACTTCAGTGATTAATTTAGCATTTAAATAAATAGACTTCAAAGATTGGAAACATCATTTCTGCAACATATGGACAGCAGGAGTGAAGCAGAAAAACCTGAATAGCAGGCAGGTGGCGTCTCCGCCTTTCCCCGTTCCTCAATCTGTCCACTCCGTTTGCAGCATTTCACTTCTTAAACAGAAACGTCGCTCCAGTCCGTGTCTGTCCCCAAAGCAGACAAGCCTGCAAAGTGAAATAATATTGGCTGTTTTTAATGGGATGTTGAATATTAATATTAGTGCTGACCTTGTCAAATTTGGTTGTGAAAGTTGGTGTGATTTAATTAGCTTTTTGGCGCGTTGGAGTAGAGCCGACAGACACTGCAGGCTCCAAGAATCCTTCCTCAAGGACAGAGTCGGCTTGTGCAGAAACTGGTTATTTTATTCCTCCAGGAGGTTGTTGTGGTTGTTTAATTGGATTCCTGAATTCTCCAAAGTTGAATGTGTTGTCATTTGTTTTTTTTTGTGCTCACAAACTTAACAACACATTCTTTCTAACTTTTTGAGTTGCCAAGTTTGAAATTTTACTTACTAGCTTTTATTTGTCAGAATAATTTGAGAAATCCTGAACATATTTAATTTTGCATCATGATGTTGCAATCTCAGTAGTTTATTGGAGATAAAAATATGTTTCTTGCTTTCAGTTGGTGTTTTTAAATATTTGTCTTTATCAAGCCAAACTTTAAATCAAAAGTGGACCAAATGCACAAATTGGTGAGGACGTCAACTTGTTTAAAGATTTTCTTGTGTGTGGTCTGGAAGTATAAAATTTGCTTTAGTATTATTTATTCAGGATAAAGATGAAAAATATAAAAAAAATATTATCCAACTGTTGCTTCCCAGTAAATAAACATTTAATGCCTAAAATGCAAAAACAAATCGTTCCTTTGGTGAACGTTTGATCATTTGTATCAAACGATCTGCATCTGAAGCTGAATAAAGATGTTTCTAACACCAACATGTCAAAACCTGAGCCATTTTTTCTTGATTTAACTGACCTGGTGACTGTTTCATCAATTATACAATTAATAATTGGACGGCAAAAGTTGCATCGTAGGAGAATTTTTCAAAGAATTTTCAACCAGATGAAGTTAAAACTCGACTACTTTGTAAATATGTATTTACAGACAGGAAGTTTTCTGTTATCTTAAATGCAAAATTGAAATGTTTTTGTACAGTTTTGATTCAAACACAGGAACAATACTGTAACACAATGACCGTACACTGGTTTTCAGTAATGCGGTTAAAGCCTGGGCTTAAACCAGTTAAAACACTGAAATGTTGCTTTGAAAAAGGCAACGTGGAGATGAATGTCTGCAAACATTAATGAACTGGAGCAGCTTTATAGGAAACGGTGGAGAAACAGTCCTGTGAGAGACTGATGAAGTCAAGCAGGAAGCAACTTCTGAGAGTTATTGCTGTTAACGATACGCTGCTGGATGACTGGGTGAACTGGTTCTGTGCATGTCGGCTGTTCGCTTTGCTTCATCCGTTTCTCCTTTTCTATTAAAGTTTATTTTCTGTCAGGCCTAACTTTTAGGATAAGGAAAAACAAAACACAGTTGTTTTGTTCTCAAGTATTCAAATTACTTTTGAAAGGATGCTTCTTTCCAGAGCTAATGCTGATCTCCAAACATGCAGTGGCAGAAATATTCCTTTCTGTGTGACAAAGGAATATTTTCTGGCTCCTCTGTGAGGAAATTATCTCTGCCAGTTAAAACGAGTGTCTCCCTGTGTGGTGGTAATTGAAGTCCTTTATTCTCATCTTTGCTTATTCACCACTAGTAGAAAAAATGTGGTTTCAGTCAGAACAAACGCTTTATTTGCAGAATACTGCTAAAGAATGAGAGGCCCACCTGTTGAAATATGAAGAATCCATTTTTCTGCATGAAGTTGTTGTAGGTTTTTATTCAAGTATCTCCCCCAAAAACAAAGACGGTTTACTGAGATGTGAATTTTTCTAATTTCTGTTGGAAAGTTGCTGGAATTTTTCTGACGTTGATTGGGCTATTTAAAACTAAAACACAGACTATTTAAAGAGAGAAGACATTTTATTTTGAGCCAATTGCAAACAATAACAGCAGATTGTTTTTGTGGCAAGTGGGCTTTTAAATTAGGTGATTTTCTTTTCACTTTAAAACAAACATGCTTCAGAGAAAAGAAATTGAATTTGTTGTGCAAATGGACTCAAGTGAAGTATTACCTCACAGTTAAAATGCTTTGGGGATGATTTTCTATAAAAATGCTGAACCAGTGGTTATTCAGAACATTCTGTTTTGCTCCAATTATACTTGAAGAACCATTTTCGAAACAAAGGGAGGAAACGTTGAGCAGTAAATTGTGGCGTTGCGTTTTGTCTGAGGAGTTGTTTCCACTCAGTTAAGGGGTTAGCTTGATGGATGCTCCCCGTACAGGTTGGCAACTGGTTTCTAAGTGCACCTGACAGCCACTTTGTTCTTCTCCACACACACACGCACACACACACACACAGGCACACACACACACACACACACACATTCTGACTTTTGAACACCACATCCTCCTCCTCTGACAATGTGCAACTTCTATACCTAAGAGGTTACTCTCTTCTCGGCACATCTAGGTCATACGTTTGCTGCCACTTTGGTTTTCTGGCTGACGGTGTGCAGCTCAGTGAAACACTGACATGCAGTCAGAGTAAAAATAAAACACCTTTTTAGATAAACTTACAAAAAGGGGAAACAGTAGTTGTAAAGAATGTTTTATACAGCTGGAAAAATGAGGCAATCTTGTGCTAAATTGACTTTTTTGAGCTAACACACCTGGAATGTTGCCTTGATTATTTTATGCATGTGTGAGAAGTCTTTTAATCTCCATGGCAAACATTCAGCTGGACAAAACGCCTGGGTGGACTTAGCTCCGCCTTCGAGACCCAGCTCCTCCTCAGAGCTAAAGTTCCCAAGCGACTCAGCTCCTTCAGACTAGCCAGCAGCAATTAGCAAACACCTGGTGGATAAGAGAAGATCAGTTTAGCCTCCTTTGTAGTGAGGTTAGAGAAGAGAGGTTAGAGTTTGAAATATGTAATCATATAATGCAGAATCTACAATAAATAATTCATAAAACAACTTTAAAAATATCTATTATGGTCTAAACACAATTCTTATTAACCTTATTAAACCAGAAAGTACGTAAAGTTCCCACTTATTATTTCCTATGGAACCTAAGGAAAGTTTGCCTATTTGTGTATTTTTTTGGGACGTGCATCAAACCCTCAAAACGTAGAGTTTGAATGTAAACCAGACGCTCAGATTACGTTTGAACGCAGCATTAGACTCATAATTTTCAGTATGTAAGCAATGTCATGTTGCCTTTCCGTCTACCCACATCTTTCAGGTGCTGAAATTTATTACTTTTTAATCACCTTTCAGCAAACATGTATTGTGTCTGGAGATTAGAAACAGTAACTATAAACTGCTTACATTAACCGATTCAATAAATGTAGGAATATAAATGCTTTGCCATTTAACTGTCAATTTATATCAGGGAAATTTGCATGTAGAAACAATTTTCTTGTAGCAAACAAAGGAAGTTGAAATAATTGGTTCTTAACCAGATGAGCCCATAATAAAAGATTATGTTAATTTCCAACAAATTAATCCTTGATTTAAATATTATTGCAGGAAGCTTTGAATGGATGATATTTTAATAATAAAGACAAAGACAGTTTGATGTGGGAGAAAATAAGATGAAAAATCTTTAATTCCCTACTAAAATTTTAAGTTTTTAATAAAATATTACAGGCTGAACTCAAAACACAACAGCAACAGCTTTTTTTTTTTTTTTTTGCCTTCTCCCTTCCCTTTGCATTGAGTGATTTTATGGAGCCAAAGATGATATGATGAGCATCGATGGATGAAATTAAGCTGAAATAAATTGCAGGAGGCACTTGCGGTAAATATGTGCGTCTGTGCTGACAAATAGAACCCATCCCAGTTTTATCAAAAGCCAGAGGGAGTTATACGATGAAGCCTTTGTTATTACGCTCATGTGTGGCTTCTTTCTTCTTCCTTTCTATCTCATATAATGTTTTCTTCTTTGAAAGGTGAACACCCTGTGGGGAGAAAGTTGTTAAGATGCAGTTTAGGGTAAAAAATCTGATGTTATAGATTCTCTGCTTTTTGTTGTTGGGAGAAAAAGAGATTTATTTTTTTCCATCTCTATGGTCTTTTTCTGTTTCACCGACTGCTTCAAAAAGCTTTTCAAACCACAAAACCATCCCTTGTATTTACCTTAAGAGTTTAATTATCAGAACAGCAAATTTATTTAGCCCTTTTTGTTAAATTTAATTATATTGTAGCTCTAAAAGTGAAACAAGGACATTAAATTAGCGTTGGCTTTAAATTTTTAAATCATTAAAAGCTAAAAAAGTATCTTTTAGTTTTTATTAGAAGTCAAATCAGCTCTTTTAAATGTTTTTTTTTTACTGAAGATGTTTTATTGTTGCAAGATACAATCACTTCAGAGTAAAAATCAAGAATCTCAAGGTTAAAGGGCTTTTTATATAAAGGGGTTTATTTTTTCAGCTCAGATTTTTTGGGATAAAATCTGAGTTAATCCGCATTGTACCTCATCCCGTCCTTCTTAAATTGCACTCTGCTACTGCTCTGCATACTAACGCCTACCTGAACTAAAACAGTCATTTCCTTTGCAGGTGAAGACGACCATCTGGCTCTGAAAGGCAAGGTTACGGTTGGAGACCTCTTTCGAAAAGAATTCAAGGTTCATGACCCAAACGCCAAATGGATCAGCAGTAAGTTGCTCTTATTAATCTTTATTAATAAGTGATAGGTTAGATAATCCCGTGGCTCTCACAAAGCCAAAAATGAAACCCTTTTCATTATGAATGGAATAAAAAAATTGTTTTTGCAGAAGATTTTCTGCAGGTTTGTATGAAAAATCTGCATATTACAGGCGTCTAAAAGTCTTCAAACTATGCTTCATATCTCTTTCATTTTCAATACAATTTTTAAGCCTATTTTCTAATAGAGGATTCATTTTATGTTGACATAAAAGAAGGTCAACAGAAATGGTAAACGAGGTGGGAGGGGTTCTTCAGATGAGCAGTCAAGAGTTGGGTTGTTTTAATGGCCTCATTAATTATGTAATGAGTTTTGTTTTATGTTTGGTAGTAAACTGGCTGAGCCATGAGGAAATGTTGAAGGTGGATTGATTCAGTATGTGATTTGTAGGCCACAGTTTAAATGTCCTCAGTGATTTAAAAGGTTTGGAGTTTCCTCACCAAGTGGAGGCGCTACTGTGTTTTTTATCCTGTTAAAAGGGGGACAAATTGTGTGAAATTCACATTTTGCAGGTTGTTATTCTTATATTTGGGTTTTTACACCTTCTAAAAAAAACTCAAACACTTAAAGAGAAAAAGAAAAACCACGATGTCGTCTTTGGAAATAAGTTCATGTTTTTTGGCTTCTGGAAAGTGAGGTGTTTCCAAAACCTCTGCAACATAACGTCATAAATCAGGAGGCACTCTCGCCCATTGAGTGTTGCAGTTTTCTGCCAGTTTTGGTCCTACAAAGCTCATTCAGCTGGTTCAACTACCTCCTCTGCATGTAATAAAGTTCTGCAGAGGTCTGCTAACGAAACAATGAAACTTAAACTTGCAGTTTGACTTTCAGCACAGCTACTCTAAGGAAACACGTGGGTGTACGCATTATGTGGAAACAAGAAAAACAGCACACAAAGTTTGATGCATCACTGGAAAAGTTCAAGTTTACCAGCTCCATAAGTCTTGCAACACAGTAACACAATCCTAATAAAACAATCAACAAATCTTCCATCTGTGTGTGTTTTTTGCGAATTACCGCTTCTCTGCTGCACCTCCAGCTGGTGCGTTTCCCATAATCCATCCCCTAAAAACAGAGAAATCATGGCACTCCTCATTCATAATGCACAGAGCACATTGTCTGAGTGAATGCAGCCCTGCTCTCGCTCCTCAACGTGGCATCTTGAGTCACAGCTGCATCCTCATTAGGAAACATCAAGGAAATAAACACAGGAAGAGTCTGTTTACATCAACGCACAACTCAAACTCATTCACAGCACGACTGTCGTTTTATTTAGTTACAATCTAGAAGCGTTAGCTGCTAAGTGTTTAATTGAACTTAAAATGTTAGAAAAAAAGGAAAAATGTCAATCAATAATGTCTGTTTTAGAGCGAAAGTGTTATTAGTAGCTTTATCACAATGCAATGTTAAATTGCTGTTTTTTCATGCCAATGTAATGTTTCTTGATATCACAAAGTCTCTTATGATCAATTTTGATTCAGTTCACATCTGCGATCAGCATGATGCAATGTCATACGTCCAGAATCATTTTCATACATCTCTGGAAAAGTGACCAGATTTTACTTTTTTATAGGTGTATGTGTGAGGAAAATGAACATTGTTCTTTTATTCTATGAACTACTAACAACATGTCTCTGAAATTCCAAGCAAAGATTTTGTATTTATTTGCAGAAAATGAGAAACGGTCAAAATAACAAAAAAGGTGCAGAGCTTTCAGACCTTGAATAACGCAAAAAAAAAAAAAAAACCCACCAAAGTTTATATTTATTTAGAAACAACAATTGTAATGTTTTAGCTGAGGAAGAGTTCAGGAATCAATGTTTGGTGGAATAACCATGAAGTTTTCAATGGGCTTCAGTGCAGTGGGCTCTTAATTTTTTCTAGAGCTGTACATCAACATAATATGAGAAACTTTATGCTCACAAACAACACCTATGGTCTACAGTGTTGCTGTTGACTTCCTGTTCAAACTGTTTGCCTCATGATTTCTTTCCAGTAGAGAAACTGTTTGCGTTTCTACTTTCATAAAGCTCCCAAATGATTTCTGCATATCTGTGTGAATCTTTCTGGGTTTTTTTTAACGTTTACCTTTTCTTTTTTTTTTTTACCACACTTCCATTTGCCTTGTTAGAAAACTGATTTGAGACGATGAAACAATCTATTTTCGGTTCATAGCAATTAGCAGCAGCACTCTAATGTTGCATGTGCTACACCATTAAGATCTGTTTTTTTTTTTTTTCATCTAAATCATGATTATATTTGCCTTGTCACTCACTGTTCACCGGCTGATTTCTCTCCGTTATTCCAAACTACATTTCCCCCTCATGCTTCAGGAGCTGCTTCATAACCTGGAACAATAACACTAATTTTTCTTTACTTCCTAATGTTGGTGCTGTTCTGATCCAGCAGACGCTTTGTCTTTTATTAATGCTGAAACAGTAACAAGAGAAACACACTCTTCTCTGTATTAAAGCGTCTCAGGAACCCAGTTTGTTTCTCACAGTCTTGGCTCAGTTCAGCACTTCATGCTGCAGTTTGACCTTACAGAAAGTGATCCAACATTTCCCATTGCAGGCTGTGTGAGATGGCAGGAGTGGAGCATATTAGCATGTAGCCATAAAGCTGAAACTTTGCGTTAATTATATTAGTGATAGTGAAACACCACCATTTGAGGAAAATAGATTTTTATCGGCAGACCCCCATATGTGCTGGGTGAAGAGATTCCCCTCATGTAGCCGATTTGTCGTTGTTACAGGCTGCGACCCAAAGCGCGTAAACAAATCGATCATGCCTGGATAAGCACAGAAAGCTGCTGTTCCTCTGTACACATCTGGAAGACAACATCTGTTCCTCAGAATTACCAGTTAAACCAACGGAAAAGGAAAAAGTGGAAAAAAAAAACAATATTTTGTATCAGCAAAATCTCAGTATGGGACAAAAAAAATGCATTTATTTAATAAAAAATAAAACTCAAACGTGAAAAAGAATAACTTTTGCATAATTACTGCTGCATTTCTGTAGTTATTTACTTTAAGTTGATCAGTCTGAAATAATTTGTCCTTGAGTTTTACTCAAGATTTTTAAAAATGTTTTAATCGTCTGCAATTTTAAATTACTCCACACCTTTTGACAAAGTCTCTGAAATAACTTCCTGGAAAAGTTATGGTTAAATAAAAATAAAAAAGCATATTCTCTGACTTCTCTCAGTCACCAGACATGCTAATATTTGTCCATATAAGTTTTTATGCACCAAATATTAAGACAGATGCACCTTTTTTCATACTTTCTGAGGTCAAATCAAATTTCTATTGTTTTAGATCAAATGGAAAAATCAAAATTCCACAATAATGCCAAAATATATCAGATACATAATAATGATTCTGTATGTAAACTTCTCATTTTAAATATATTAAGTAAATCTCATTATGGTAGCATTTAGCAAATAGAAATGATTTTGATAGTTAAAACAAGAGATGTTAAACAATGTCTTTTTATTTGACGTATGTAAACTTCTGGCTTCAACTGTGACAAAAATTGGAGTTATGTAAGTTAATTATTATTGAGAATAAATTCTGCTTTGCACTTCAGTTTTCTCTTGAACCAAAAATTGACCTGAGCTGATAAAAGACATGGTGACTGGAGGTTTTGTAGCCGTCCTCGCACACAGGAGCAATCTCTGAAAAACACTAGACCTCCCTGCTAAAAGCTCTTCAGCGCTTCATCTTTTTCTTCCTCCATGATATCAGTGTTTTTCTGCTGAATGATTAAGTGTGGCTCACAAAAAGGAGAGAAATAGGAGAGGGAGATTTAGAGAGAGCCGTAAGCTGATTAGTTTGTCTCTGTTAGCTTTTCTTTTTCCCCCCCAGAAATAAACCAACATCTGTGCTTTCAGGGCTGCGTCTTGGTTCAGCTATGAAGGCTCTTCTGGTTGGAGGTTGAAATAGAATTTTTTTTAAACCTTGTTTTGTTCATTTCATGATTTCTTCTGAGACTCCCTCCATTTGTCAGTCAGCTCCCCAGAGAGACTGAATATTACCTGGAGAGGCCAAATCATCACTTATTGGGCCATTTTTCTGCACAGCCGCTTCATCGAGCCGTTTTCTGTTGTTACTTCAAACAGACGCAAAACCTCAGTTACTTAATTGGTTTTTATTATTAGTATAAAGTTGGTTATTACTGAATCCGTCCGCCTGTTTTAAGATGAAACTTTATGAATTTGCAGACATGTGGAACCTTTTCATTCTTACAAAGCTGCGTAATACTCCTTTCGCTTAATAAAGCAGTTTGCTTGACATTTTTTTTATTTTTTACTTTTTTAGTTGCAGAAAAAACAAACGGTCTTTATTTGTAATTTAACTTTCTGGAACACAAAGCCAACTCTGAGCATAGCTCACACCAAGGATGTTCATTCTTTCTCTTTGAGAGGATTATTTATTGATATCCAAAGAACAGAAAACAGATTTTTTTATTTATTTTTTGCCTGTTGTACTGACTCATTCCAAACCATGTACAATGTACTGTTACACTCCTATTGCATGGACCTGTACAACCTGTTGCAACAAGATGAAGCTTTAAATGTTGTATCAAAGTTATTGAATCAGACCTGAACAGCATAAATCATTTACTTCTGTGGTACAATGCTCTTAAAAGTACTGATTTCTTTGGTTTTTGCTTCATTGTCAAACTTAAATGTTTCAGATCAGAACAAATTGCAAACAAATTAACGGTGGTGACTCAAGACGATGTAGGCTGCAGTTTTCGAATGACAGAGTCACTTATTAAAAGAAGTAAGTTGCCAAAGTTACTTAATGTTACTTAAAGTTACTTAGCCAAGCCGTCTAAACCATTCTCCGTTTTTGTGCTATTCAAAGCTGAAAGTTTCTGTGTTTGCACTGTCAAACTAATCAAACCCTTTAAAATATTTGTTTCCCTCCTCGCCTGTGGGGGCGCT